AGATGTTCTCCACACCCATGCAGATCAAAGTTCCTCCATTCTTTAATAAACGGCCCTCATAAGTTGCCTTGTCCAAAAATGTCCGTCTCTTCGTGGCCAACTTTCTGGGGAAGAGATTCTCTAAACATCAGTGGGCCATTTGTAATGCGGGTCCATTGCTGGTCTTTTTTCAGAGTCTTTCCAACTCTGTTGAATTTGCCAGAACTTGAGATTTACTAACCTTGATTTCAGGAACCTGAGGTCATCTCCACCATGATGTATGTAGTATATAAGTATAGGGCTTTAATATGAGAATTTCACATGGAATAGATTTTTTAAATCAAACATTCAGCAAAAATAGTGGTAAGAGAATGCTTTTGAGCATTATCCTTACAGGACATCATTACTCCAGGCTCCTGTAATATATAGTTCAATTAATAGCAGTTGAATACAGAAAAAAAACTGAATGTTGAAGAGTAGTGGTGTGGAAAATGTTCATTATATAGATAAACAGTCTGTGAAAGCCGAATGGAATTTTTTCATTTATTGGTCAATCAACAGATATTTATTGGGTACCTTTTGCATTCCATATAACTAATTGATAATTCTGTTAATACTTGTCAGAATTGATAATGAAGGTAAGAATTGTTTGGGGATTAGTAACTGGAAAACAAGACATCTTTTTAGAAACTTTTAAAAAAATTTTAATGAAATGAATATATAGTTTGGAATATAAGCTAATGTCTCATTCTTGTCTTTTTAGGTTTCTTTGGAATATAGGCCTGTAATTGACAAAACTTTAAATGAAGCTGACTGTGCCACAGTTCCACCTGCTATTCGCTCTTATTGAGTTCACTAGCTTTACAGATAAGTTTGTGTAATTGTGTATAATAATGCCTCATTGAGTCTGGTATATGTATGTAGCATAATGGTTTTTTTAAAAAATTCTGTTAATTTGTCAGGGATAAAAAACAGTACTCATGTGATTGACTCAAATTATCATCTGTCTGATGGCCGGTGGCTCATCTGTAAACTGAAACTAGGAAATATTAAGCTTTCCTGTGCTTTATTTTTTGAAGTGATAAAATCAAGTATGTTTCTTAGATAAAACATATTAAAGTGTCCTTGCATTCCTTAATCTTTCAGAGGCTGCTTAAAATAATCTTGCATGTCTCCTATGAGGCATATCTTTCTATTCAATATATATTGATAGTATGGTAACCTTGTGATTATTATATCACATTGAAATTCAGAAACACAGTAATGTTAAATTTTAAATAAAAGTGAATTTTGCTTCCTTGCTGCAGACGAAAAATAACTGCAACCTTCAGTACTTTTTTATACTAAGTAAATTATTTTGTTAAAGGTAAAGGCAAGTGTCCCAAGTCAATAAGCTCTGGTACTTGAGGACAGCTGCCAACCCTTGGTACTTGGGCTCAAAGAATTATTTCTATGATTGCCTTCTTTCACTAGCTTCTACTTTAGTCATTTCCCACAGGATCCAGCTCCATCCCTCCGAGAAAGCTAACATAGAGTATCTATGTTGAGAATACAAAAACTTCTCTGACTTTTGCATTTTTCCTCCAGTTCAAAAGAGGTAACTTTCCACTTTACTCTTAAGGAAGAGAAAAAACACCTCCCTTGCCAAGAAATTTTTCCCGCCATACCTTCTGGCTAGATGCTACTTGAAATCTTAAGAGCTGGGATTTCTCAACTTAATATCTCCAAAGCTTGGAGTTCACTTGGGTGTACTGGGTCGGGGTAGGGAATGTGACACAGGCAGAAGGAACATTATGCTCAAGGATGGAAGAGTATGTTAACAGTCATAGAGAAGGGAATGGGGTATGTGTTTGCAAGTGTTCCCCAAAGATTATCCAGATACTAGAAACTTGAAACAGAATATCTACTGACTATACTTTAAGAGCCTTAAATTGTAACAGGAAATTATTTTACTTCATCTTAGTACTGGAAACAGCACTAGATGTAGAGAGAGAGCATCTCAGTTTTGAGTATAGGCTTCCCCACTTACTTCTATGAGACCTTTGGCAAGTCACTAAATACTCAGCCTCAGTTTTTTTGCCTCTAATATAAAGAAGTCCTTATTAATCTAATTAACAACAGTTGTGAGGAAAATGCTTTGTAAATGTTCAAATGGCATGTAGGTGTTAAAAGCGTGTGCCGTGAAAAGTACACAAGAATGCCTATTATGAACAATACTCAAAATTAAATGGAAAAGTAGATTCATGGACAACGAAGTCCAGGGATACAGGCAATCTGTCAGCACAGTAGCTGTACTTACTGTCACATAATTTCCTTAGGTTAGACATTTGTAAAGGATGGATGTCAGCTGAGCACTGTGGGAGCAACATAGTTTGATGAGCTAAATTGTGAAGATGACAAAGAGAAAGACTCAGAAGATTCACTCAAACACAACTCCTAATGATTAGAAACACCAATCCAATGATTGTGGTTCATTTTTAGCAAAATTGTCGGCAGCCTGAACGAAGTTATAAATGGCAAGCGGAGAGTGACTATAAAAACAGAAAGTATAGTTACTTACTTCACAATATAGGGAACACTGCTGCTCTTACAAGATACACCCATACACAATCAGCAGGCATTTATTAAGTGCTCACTAGGCACATGAGTGTTGCTTTCAAACCTAAAAGACAAACTTAGGGGCAGGTCCATTTGAAAAACTGCATGTTAGGTCCTCTTAAGTAAAAACAAAAAGAACAAAGAAATACCCACTTTTACATTTTGTTTAGTTCTTAAAATCACAGAATCCTACAGAGAGATCTTGAAGATCTTCTAGCTCATCCTCTGACACAATGCAGACTTTTTTCCTATATTAACTGTGCCACTTGGTAATCTTGTTTTTGGACTGGATTATAACTAGAAGCTAACCTAGACAGAAGAAGGGTTAGATTTTTTAAATTTCCCAAGAAGCCACTTTTGAACTAGGATGGTACAATGATGAGGTGATATCTGGCAAGAGAAAGGCATTACTAGGTAATGAAATCCCTACTTCCAGTAAAGAATAACTCTACCATCACTCCTCTTTTGGCGCTAATAGCATGAGTCAGCAAGTTATCTGGCAAAAAGAGCCCCAGGGAATTTTGGTTCAGTGACCCAAGGGTCAAAGCACCGGATTTGGAGTCTGAGGACCTGGATTTGAGTCCTGGATTTCCCCATTTAATTCTCTAATGTGACCTTGGCAACTAAGTCACTTGGGAAGGTCAGACTAGATGAGCACTCCAAGCTTTTCTCCAGCACGAAATTCTTTGACCCTATAAAAATGGGGGTTTCAAGAAGAGTCATTTCCATATTATTTTGGTCTGCATTTGTATGGCCATTAAGCACCCTCTTCTCCCCACACACACCCCTTAATTTTCACCTTTAATCTTTCAGAGGCTGCTAAAAAATTATCTTGCATGGTCACTATTAAGCATATCTGAAGTCTGAATTTGTTTTCCAAAATAAACAAATTTTTAAATTTGTTTTCTAATCTTTATAACTTTGTTTTTATATCATCTTTATATTCCAGGATAGTTTGCCCTTCCTCCCCTCTCTTGCAAGCTATGCCACAATAAAAGATTCATTAAAACTAGCCAACATATCAGTGACACTATATGCAGTATTCTACACCTGTCATCCTCCCATCTTTGAGAGTTTTCTCAACTCTTTCTCCAGAGCTGGGCTCTGAAGCATAGTTTAATAGGACATTTAGCAGAACCAGTCAGATGACTTGGAATTGCTGTGCAGTATGGTGAAATAAGAGATTATATTAAGATTGCACTTTCAGGTTTGCAATTTACATTCATCTAATTTGGTTCTACTTCTGCATTTTAGGGATGGGAACTAATTTCACTGAACAGGATATTCCCAGGGGAGGAAACTCCACCCACTAATGGCTGGTTGACTTCTCCCCAAGTTCCAGTCTTAGCTTCTGAGAGCTTTGAGAGGTCAAGCTTATTCAAGGTCACATATTCAGGAAGTGTCAAAGGCTTGACTTGAATCCACATTTAACTGGAAAACTCACTGCCTTTGCATTTTACCAAAGGGTAAAACTGGCTCCTGGGGTAAAAGATTCTTTAGACTTCTTAGTACAAGTTCGAGTTGGGTAGGAAGGTGGACAAGAATTTGCATACTGCTTCCTAGAAGTCAGAAAATAGTCTCTATGCCTAGGTTATTTGCCTGTAGATGTGTAACCCTGAGTAAGTCACTTTACCTGCGTTTCACGTTTCTCCCTCCTTACCAGATAGCCTGCCAGCCTGGGGATCAAAATAAATAGTCCCCCAGAAAAACATTTACTTATGGTAAACTCCATACTCTGCCATTCTGCAAGAGAGGATACAACCAACACCCACCGCCAGGTCTGGGGGCCACAGGAAGGGCCTCCCTGTCCACAGTGAATGAACACTTGGCCCTTGTCCTTCCTCAACCCTAAACTCCCTTTTCTATAAGCCTGGGATTTCTGAAAGTGGGGGCTTTGCTTAGCCGGAGGGTCAGATCAAGGTAAGGGCTGCCGGGCCTTAGAGATCATCTAAGAACCAGGGCTTCTTAGACCTTTTCCATTCCTGACCCTTCAGCGCTTCTTAAAACTGCGGGTCACAACCCCATATGGGGTCTTGACCACCCCCCTCCACCCCCTCCCCGCCTTCTGTAACAGGCCGGGAAACTGAGGCCCGGGGAGGGGGAAGGTCAAAGAAGAGCCGGAACTCGATGTTGGGGTACGAATCCCCAAGACTCGAAAAAAGCGGTCTTTCACAGAGCAAGACGCGCCCTGCCGCGCCCACCCGGGGCCAGGGAGCCCGAGGCCGCCTCCTTCTCCACCCCGCCGAGGCTCCCAAGGCCCGGTGCCTCCGAGGACCTCCTTCCCAGGGGCTGGGGCCGCCTTCCAAACCTAGCGCCCTTCCGTTGCCAGGCAACGCGGCCCCGCGAGGAGACTGGCGATGCTTGGTCATGTGACGCACCGCCCGCCCCTCTTCCCGGAGGTGGCTATTAGCCCGGAAGTGGCCTTCCTCTCTTCCGGCTCCTCCGCCCCCGTTCAAGAAAGCGGAAGTGGAGGAACCCCGCTGAGCCATTCTCTCCAGTTCGCGGTCCGCTGCTTGTCTTACCCTTGCTTCGGCCGGCCCATGGCCACCTACCACTACCGGACGGGCCCTGGGGGCGGCTCTGGCCCCGGGCCTGCCGCTGCCGCGTCCCTCCCGGACCAGAGTTTCCTGTGGAACGTCTTTCAGCGGTGAGGATGGCGCTGGCCCCTGCCCCGGGTCTCCCCTCTCCCCACGAGCTCCCGGGAGGGTCCGCCCCCAGCCACAGCCAGGGCTGGACGGAGAGGCGGCTGGGGCCGGGGGTCCTGCCTCGGCTCCCCCCCGTGTGCCGCAGCACCGCCTCTCTGCTCTGCTTCCCCGCCACCCGCCTCAGGGTCCTAGCGGGTGACCCTTGACTCAGCCCTCCTCCTATAAAGGGACGTCGTGTTACAGATGAGGAAACTGAGACCCAGCGGGGCGGGCACGCAGTTTGAGTGGCAGAGCTGGTATTCCAGCCCACCTCCGGGCTCCCCCGCCCCAGGCTAGGCTGCTCCAACCGGAGTCAGCAGGGATGGGAACCGGTGCCTCGTCCAAACTTCGCGTCCCTCCCATCATCCCCCAGAGCTCCCCCGCTTACACGTAACGCACGCAACACACGCGGCCTCACACTTGACATTCGAGAGCCCATCCAGTGCCCGTAGGCTGTAGTGTCCTAGATTAAGAGGTGGGAGGGGCCTTTGAGGCCACCTAATCCAACCCCCTCATTTTACAGGTGAGGATGCTGAGGCCCAGAGCAGTTAGAGCGATTTGCCCAAGGTCACTAATGGTGTACATTTTAATTCAGCTCCTCTAAACTCTTTCTAAGTTCAGCACCTTTGCCTCCAACTCAAGTATCGACTGTCCTGTGTGTCTATGATTTCAACCCCAGATCTTCAGATACAGTGGTGTTTCCAGATCGCTGGATTGTAGAGCTAGAATGCATTTTAGAGCTGACCCAGTTTGATAACCCTTAATTTGATAGAAGAGGAATCTAAAGCCCATAGAGGTCACAAAGGTAGTGTAAAAGGCAGAGTCAGGATGTACTTAGATCCTCTCACTTCAGATTTTTCCGCTGCACCAGGTCCTCTTCTGAGTTGTGTGTAACTTGGCTGAGAGTCATTGCAGAACCTGGAGAATGCTAAATTTAGAAGAAGAAAACCTTGCTTTTCTGTAATGATTAGAACTATATGCCTGAGATCTAGGGGAAAAAAATAGAGAAACAGCTTTGGTTGGTGGCTTTCATCATTTTTGTTTTCTTGGTGTAGGGAATACTTCCCCTTGTCTTCAGGGGAAATCTTCAGGGACTGGTTGTCGCTGAATGACTGCATATCTGAAAGTGAGGTTTTTTAAATTAGAGTTTGGAAAAGGAGATTGTGGTAGGTGTGATGTGGTCTATAAAGAAGCAGGTAGAAGGCCAGGAAAGGGTTTCAAAAGAACAAAGAAGGTCATCAGCCTGCAGATATAGGTAGAATAGAGGACAAAAGCCAGAAGTTAGGAGAAGTTTAAATCAGTGACATGACTCATTCCTAGACCTAGAATTGTGATTTGGGAAGTATAGTGACTAGAAACCAGCAAAAGAACTTCAAATACAGTTCTTTCTCTCTCTTTCTCTTCTCACTCTCTTTTTCTCTTTCTTTATTTAAAGACTGGGTCTCCCCATCCCACTCAAGCTGGAGTAAAGGGGCTATTTCCAAGATGATCCCAGGACTCATCCAGCGTGTGATCTTTGACCTTCCTTTCTTGCCTGGGCCTCTTGTTAGTGACACAATGTAGACACCTGATCTGCATAGTCCACTGCAGCTCAGAACTCCTGAATTTAAGAATCCGCTTCCTGGTAGCCGGGATTATAGGGCGCGTGCCACCACTTCTGAATGATTTTTTAATTTATTTACCTGTGTGTGTAGATATACAGATAAAGTTATATTTTTGCTTCTGAAGTAGCCAAAGAGATTGTGGTCTTCTTTTGAGAAATACATTAGCTAAGACCAGGACAGAGTGGAAAAGATGGGAGAAGGTAGTCTGATAAATAATTTGAAGTAGGAAAGCTAAATAAATTTTAGTGGGAATTGTGCTAGAATTGAAGCCTTGAATTTGTATTCTGAAGAAAAATAAACTTACATAACTTATGGGCTTAATTGTCTTTGGCAGTATAAAGCAGTTCTGTTATATTTCTTTAATTTTTAATCATCATTGTAACATATTTCATGTATTTCATAGGGTTGATAAAGACAGGAGTGGAGTAATATCTGACAATGAACTTCAACAAGCATTATCCAATGGTAAGTGTGACTTAGTAGTTAGTGAGATTTTTAAACTGCAAGCTTAATTTTTCCTTTGATTTGCCTTTTCCTTAGTTTTATTTTCCAAGTGCAAAGGAGTTGAGAAAACTAAAGTATATTGTGCACATAATTTTGGGATTGATTGGAATTGATGACAGTTTCTTGATTACTGTAATGGTCTCCATTTTGAGGTACTTCAGTTGTGTCATTTGTGTAATGGCTATAGGCATTGTCTTCCACTATTAGAGTGTTAGCTACTCAAGAACAGAAATTATCTTGTTTTTGTGTATTTTTCTTCATTGTTCAACACAGTGCTTGACATATAGTAAACACACTTAATAAATGCAGTTGTAGTCTGTTCATTTAGTTAAGTATTAGATGTATAAAAATTAGGAAGTATTTGGAAAAATTGTTAGTATATTTAAATATTAAGGGAAAAGTAAGGCATTTAACTGCAGAAACAAATCTTAGAGGCAGAAAGATTATTTAGGCCCTGATGTTTAGGGCTTCTTAGAGATTCTGATCAGGCCACAGAAGGAACCAATAGGATTCTCAAGTAAAATTGATATAGCAAGTTGTTGAAGGTTTTGGAGGGCATCCATGTGGCACATGTAAGGGAACTTGGTTGCTATGGAAACTGCTGAAGCTCCAGGGTTAAGTTGCTATAGAAATGATTGGAGATATCGGATGATACTGATATAGCACTTTACTATATAGTGGGTTCCTAATCAGGTACAGTCAGTCATTCTGGGGACTGTTATTAGTCTAGGATAAGAAGAATAAAACTACTGTTGGGGTTTCCATATGTGATTCATTCTTATAGGTCCAGTTTTGTCTTGTTTCCATTTATTTTCATATGAGGTTCCAGCTTCTTATTCTGAGCCTCTTCAAGGACAGTAGTTATTAATCAGGTAGCAGTTAGACCCCTAAGTAATAAGTCTAGTTGGAGAAATTTTATTTCACTAACTAACCAATCTCTTATGCATGCATTTCAACCCATTCATTATTATTATGGAAGCTTTTCAATTGAAGGTGTGCCAGTTGAGCTTTGATTCAGTTTGAAATTTAGAAAAGAGTTGAAAGACTGTTCTTCCCTTGATGAGAGGTGACTGACAACTTGTATTAACATAGTAGTTACAGTGGCGATCCTCATAACATTTTTATTTGTATTAAAGATAGAACTACCAGATGTATATGATTTTTTTCATTTAAAAAAATTAGTGATAGCCTTTTGTTTTTACATCACTTGTATTTCCAAATATTTTCTTCTTTCTCTTTCCAGAAAACCATTCCTTCTTGTAAAAAAATAGAAAAGAAAGCAGGGGGGAAACAGTTCACCAAAATTAACCAAAGTATTAGCCTAGTTTGGCAATATATTCAATATTACCCAGCCTTAGTCTTCTAACTCTGCAAAGGAGGTGGGGCAAGTATATTTTCTCTTTTCTTAAGGGCCAGTTATATATAGTCATATATAAATACATAGTACTATTTCATTCTTTTATTTTTTCTTTCCATATACTTTGTGTTTTCCCAGTTTTGCATACTTTACATCAGCACATATAAGTCTTTCCATGCTTCTCTTCATTCTTCATATTCATTATTAATCACAGCGCAATAATATTCCATCACATTCATGCACCACTGTTTGTTTAGCCATTCCCCAATTAATGGGCTTCTCCTTTGATTTCAGAGCAACTATGTGGTACATTAGATAGCTGTGTGGTCCTGGGCAAGTCACTTAACCCTATTTGCCTCAGTTTCCTCATCTGTAAAATGAGCTGGAGAAGAAAATGGCAAACTATTCTAGTATCTTTGCCAAGAAAACCCCAAATGAGGTCATGAAGAGTAAAACAACAAACACTTTGATTGCAATTCTTTGCTACTACATAAAATGCTGCTATAAATATTTTGGTGTATATTAGATCTTTTCTGTCTTTTACTTCCTGGAGTGTTATGAGTAGTGGGATCTTTGAATGAGAAGATATAGACATTTCAATTACTTTAACATAATTCTAAATTGTTTATCAGAATGAATGGTTAGACTAATTCATACATTTCCACAGTCCTTGCAACATGAATGAAAAAATTAAGGGGAAAAGTACTTATTTAGCACTTAGCATGTACCAGGCATTGTGTTACATACTTAGGAATACAAATACAAGCAGACAATACAGTCCCCACCCTCAAGGAACTTACATTGTAAGAGGGGAAGTTGAGCTAAAAGGAGGGGAAGGAAGAGTATAGGCAGGTGTCAAGGACATGGTCTAAAGGAATGACTGGGAAGAGCAAGGAAGTCCTAGTTCCAGGAAACATAGGACAGGAACTCATCAGAGTGCAGGGTCCAGGGGCAGAGTGGCTCAATGACTCTGGAGGGAGGGGGTTAACAAGGGTGGCCTGAGTGGAGATATAAGCAGGACAACTTGGTCTAGAAATGGCCTAAAAGAGACTTGGAGGTCCGATTGTAATTTTTGCCAAATTACTGGATACAGAGTTGTTTTGATTTACAAGTCTCTAGTGCTTTAGTGATCTGGAACAATCTTTCATATGGCTGTTATTTTGCAGTTTTTCTTTTGGAAACTGTTTGTTCATATCCTTTGACCATTTATTATTTGGGGAATTGGGTTTGGCCTTATACTTACATGTCAGTTCTTAGAAAATCAACTTGTGCATAACTTGTGCCTGCATAAGTTTTTTTTTCTTCTTCAGGACAGTTTCAAGTTAAAATTCTATCACAGATCCCCAGAACATTGCTGCTTATCAATTCTTCTTTTCTTTATTCCTTATAACCCACTTATCATTAATTCTGGTCCATTTTGCTTATAATGTAACTGATGTCAGTAGTTATGGAAAAAGTAAGTGATAATAAGGGTACAAAAAAATTGACATCTATACTTTGGAAATGATATTTAATGTTATTTAAAGTTCAAAGCAAAGGGGGATCATTTTTCACAATCATCTGATGGATGTTTGGTAAGATGGCAAACTAGCCCTGGTTCCTATGCACAATAGATCTAGACATTATGCAATCAATACCTATACAGAGGTAACGTTCCAAGGGACTTTTGTACTGAGAGACTTTTCCAGTATTTGTGATTATTTTGAGTTGATTAGTTGAGTTGATTAGTTCATTAGGTCTCAACTGATTTATATTTTCACAAGAATTGGTCTGTATTAGGACCATCAGAGCTTAAATCATATGAAGTTAGGCAACTTGAACCAACTGGTCCCATAGCCACAGTCAAATTCTGTTCTATTCTCATACTTCTTCCCACATCACATTCTCTTGTCTTCCATCTTTATATTAAGTATGATTGCAATCCTTACTACAGGTGCCCGTTGACCTAGGACCATACCAAAACCTATATTATTAGTACATTTCAATACAATTGACTTAGGTTGATTCCTTGTTGATTTCAGTGGAAACTTGTAGTTTTAAAAGTAGCATAACCCAGTTATGCTCACTCTCTGTTATTAAATGTGTGGGACTGTGTGTACTTCCCTGTTAAATCTGGTTACAGAGATCCTGAATAATTTATGTGAACTCATACTAATATACACTGGCCCTTTTATAAGACTTGTTTCCATAGAAAAGTTTACTAAAAATGACTGTGAGGAAAGATGAGGTCAGCCGGTATACAGAAAGACAAAAGAAGACTGTTCACTTGCTTTCCATTAAAAAGATTTATTATAAGCTATTTCAGGAGTTTAGGAATTTTTACTTAACCCTTTTGTATTTAACATTATGATAATGAGGGATTTAACATTAAGATGAGGGAAAAAATTATTCTTTTAAACTTTTTTTTTCTGATCATCCTATAGCTTTCCATAATAGTAAGTAAAACATGTAATTTTAGGGGGCATTTTGGTGATTTTCTGCCTTAATTTTTTAAAATTACTATTTAACTTTATTGATTACTTGTGAATGTGCCCATTGTGTTTTATGTTAAGAGTTGGTTTCTCCCCTTCAGGAGGTCCCATCATAAAAAGAAATGAATGAAAGCTGGGGCATATGTAGAACCTATTTCTCTCAATATATTCCTATATATTCTTGCATTCACTCCATCCAGCACACATAGTGACACCATTCGTCTGTTTCCTACATTATTGCTTGTAGTCCCCATGTTATGTAGTAGTAGTGTAAGGCCTACTTCTAAAGGCTAAATTGGAATGGAGGGAGATTCAGAGTTCATAAATTACCTGTTAATGAGAGCTTATTATCTTCTCCCATTTGAAGAGTCACAATGCCAACTTCCCCTTAATAATAGATGCAAAAAAAAAGGCTAGGATTTAGCTTAATTGCTAATGGAATTAGGCCTCTATGCTGGTCTGACTCTGGTGCCCTGTTGTGGAATTGTTCTCGGAGGCTCTGCCAGAAGATCATAAGCCCTGGCAAGATCTATGAAGTTGGAACAGCTTGCAATGTGGATCTGGCAGTATTTGTTTTCAAGGACCAGCCTAGCAGTGCTCAGAGAGGATCATCTGTAGGAGTTTGACTGGGCACTGTTCAACTGATAGAATTTTTTAGCCATAGTAATTTGTGACAATAAAGTATTGAGCTAAAGATGCAGAGAAAATTCATGATTTTAGAAACCTTTTTCTTTAGTCAATCTGTCTTGCCTCCTATAAAATGTAAGATAAGTAATTAGTATTCAAATCTGGAATCCCAACCATATAATGAGAAAATGCAACAAAGTCTGTATTGATTAGAGGCCTAGGGAGCTCAATTGAGCAATGTCTGTGGGGATTGCTTGGGGGAATAAGCATTAACATGCCAGATTCCTGATTTTGAATTAAGTTGTTTATGTGACTGAAGGGAAAAGAAGTAAGCAGCTAAATTAAAGGTAATGCCTTTGAGATTAGTTTCCATTTCTTGAAAGGAAAACACTCAAACTTGAAAACTGTAACCATATAGTCAGTAAAATGTGGGGAATTGTCATTTTTGCTGTAGTTGAGAGGCACATGATGACCAGCCAAGTTCCATTTAAAAAAAAAAGATGTTTATCTCATTCATTTCTGATTCTTAAAGGTATACTTTTAAATTCATTCATGTATCAATTCATGTACAGTTTAGATCAATAGAAGTACATAAAAATGAATAGTACCATTGAATACCATAATAACTTTGAAAGGGATCACCAGTAATCTTTTGCTTATGTCTGCATTCCACTTGAATATTTCTTTAAAATCCATTTATTGCAGTATAATGAAATCTTCAGCAATAAAAATAGAAATTTCTAGCATATGTGGATATTTATAAATATGTGGAAAATATTTAACACTTCCCAGTCGCCAAGGTTTTTCTCCTTTGAAAATGAAGCATACAACAAGGACTTATTTTAGGTAAGAATTAAAATAGTTTTTAAAAATCTAGTTTTAAAAAATAGGTAAACATTGACTAGCTGAAATTTTTCCTTTTTAAAATTTTTTTTCTTTTCCCAGTTACATGTAAAGGAAATTTTTTCAACTTTTTTTTAAATTTTGAAGCCAGATCACTCAAACTAAATTTAATAATGCTAGAAAGACCAGAAAGTAGAAAATTGCCAGTATTATTTTTAAGCTAATTTTTTTTCTCCATCAATGACAGTAAAGCTTCTAATTTGGACTAATATCACAGTATCTCGTGTACTGTATGAAGAAATAGAAATGGCACTAAAGAAAAAAGAGGCAGGAGGAACACCAGGACCAGACCAAGTATGAGTGTATCCAGAGGAGTTATATGCTGGAGGTAATAAAAAGTTTGAGTGCCATGAGAGAGTAGTTCTAATGATAGCTGAGAGGGAGGGTGCTAAACTCTTGGGAAAAGTCCTGGGTGCCGTTGCTTCTGGGGGGGAAAAAAGATGATGATGGCTAAAATGTCAGCAACTACTAACCCATATGCCTTCTTTCTGTCCCTCCAAAAATTTCATGAGAATTATCTTTACATGTATTGAGAGCATTCTTGATAAATAGAATAGGTAGGCTTTTATAGATAAGTCTACAGCAAACCATACCTTTACAGTCATATAGTCGACAGAGGTTGCAACATTGTACTGTGTTTGTTTTTGTTGACTGAAAAAAAAACAAAATTTGAACAAAATACCTCCTTAAAATGTGTTTCCAGCAAGATTTTTTTGTTGTTGTTAGGCAGTCGGGGTTAAGTGACTTGTCTAAGGTCAGATATTTTCTAAACCTATATTAAAATCACAAGATTCATTGAAAAATACTACAACATATACAACTTTGAGTGCCTGATTATTAATATCAAATGAGATTAAAAAACCAAAAACAAGGAACTATAGTGCCAAAGACATTTTGCCCCTGTAATAGAGGACATCCAGTGCAAAATACAAATAGAGTAGTGAATTGGTTAGAGAAATGCAAATTAAAACAACTCTGAGAAACCACCTCATACCTATCAAATTGGCTAATATGACAAAAAAGGAAAATGATGGCTGTTGGAGATGTGAGAAAGCTGGGACACTGGTATACTGTTGGTGGAGCTGTGAACTGATCCAACCATTCTGGAGAACAATTTGGAACCTGTGCCCAAAGGGCTATAAAAGTGCATATCCTTTAATCCAGCAATGCCACTGCTAAGTATATGTCCCAAAGACATCCAAAAAAGGGGAAAGGACCTATTTGTGCAAAAATATTTATAGTAACTCTTTTTATGGTAGCTTAGAATTAGAAATCAAAGGAATGCCCATCAATTGGGGAATGGCTAAACAAGCTGGTATATGATTGTAGTGGAATATTATTGTGCTATAAGAAATGACAAGCAGGATGATTTCAGAAAAACCTGCATAGTTACATGAACTGATGCAAAGTGAAGTGAACAGAACCAGGAGAACATTTTATACAGTAACAGCAATATTGTTTGATGAAGAACTGTGAGTGACTTAGCTGTTCTCAGCAATATAAATGATTCAAGACAATCCCAAAGGATTAATTAGGAAACATACTATTTGCCTCCAGACAAAGAACTGATACTGATTGAATACAATCTGAAGCATGCTGTTTTTCACTTTCTTTCATTCTTTTTCTTTTATTTAAGTCTTGTATAAAATGACTAATATGAAAATGTTTTGCATGATTGCACATATTTAACCTATATCTGATTACCCACCTTCGGGGGTGGGGGGGAAGGAAGGAAGGGAGGAATAAAATTTGGAACTCAACTTAAGAAAAAACAAATACTTAAAAATTGTTTAACATGTAATTGGTGGGTGGGGGTGGGTGTTTAAAAAAAATTTTTTTTAAATAAAAAGCTGGAAAAAAAAACCAGAGGAGTGAATGCCTTTACATGATAAAGGCCTTTGGGCTTTCCTGCTTGTGTTAATAATACCAAGTCCTGTGACAGTAAAGATTCTCCTGAATGAGAATGATCACTTAAAAGAAGTTGGCTGAGTTATCCACAGTGGAAAAGCCAAACAGATAAAACATGTTCATTGTTCAGATTACATTATCTGTGTGGCCAGACAGCCCATAAAGCTGGTCAGTCAGCACATAATCCTTGGACAGATCTTGTGAGACAATAAGCTGGGCCCAAAATTGAATTAGAAGAAAGAGGATGCCCTGAATTGTCTTGGAGAAATTATATAACGCTTTTAGTAACTGTTAAGTTTTTTTCCCCAAAACAAAAGCCCATCTTTTTAAACACTATTCTTCTGAAGGTGGCATATGGCTTAAAATCCTGAAACAGTTTAGTTTCCAAGGGATTAGAGTTGCAAGTCAAATAAAAAACAATAGATGCAGTGTGAGTGTAAAATAGGCTGTTAGGGTGTTACCAAAAATAAAAAAGAATTGTGTACTAGAAGTGGAGTAAAAAGAGATCACAGAAATGTCCTAGCAAAAATAGGTGTGTCAGTCAGTGAGAGCAGTGGATGAGATGAAGGAGGTTCTATGTCCTGTTGACTTTCAAGAGAATGAATAAGTCACCCCACCCCAAGCCCTGACATGTTGTGGGTGGTTCACAGGGAGACATGGGCAAGAGCTGAACAGAATGAGCAAGTATGGATAAATTGGGATTTATAACATTAGGTGGAATATCCACATAGACGCCATCACAGATTTATTTAAAAATAGATAACCCAGCCTAGCCAACTTCTTTGACCCTCAGCACAGCTTCTCTCAGCAGTTTAAAGGTGGAGACTGGGTAACAGAGGGGAAAAATACCTGCTGTCCCTAGAAGTAAGATATGAAGAGGGCTCACTTTTGAAGTTGATAGATGTTAATGAGTAAGGACCTTTTGATAGTAAATGGTTTTTTTGTTTGTTTTGGGGGGGATTAGGCAATGGGGTTAAGGTTACTTGCCCAGGGTCACACACAGCTAGTAAGTGTTATATGTCTGAGGCTGGATTTGAACTCGGGTCCTTGTGAATCCAGGGCTGGGGCTCTATCCACTGTACCACCTAGCTGCCCCTATAGTAAATGTTTTGCAGGCCAGTAATTTTGTTGAAAATTGGAAATCAAGATATAACAATCTTAGATGATTTTATCTCATATAACTTTCTACAACTGAGGAGTATGTGCAAATCAGATAATTTCCTGAAACAGTTTTAGATGGATTTGCCCATAAAAGTAATTGTAGGAATCTCTCCCCTCCTCTTTAAAAAATATTTTTGTTTCTGGTCAGTATAAAATACACAGGGACATAATTCACTCAAAAAACAGTGCTCGTGGTAAATGGTTAAGATCTTGAGAAGAAGATTGCATATTTTAACTTGGTAAGTTGTCCTGTCATCTTATTTTAGCTCAAAAGTTAATGAAGTCACTGTCTTAGATATTGTAAGTTGTAGATCTGAGTTGGCCAATATTCTACCTGTTTCCTGTAAAAATGATTTTTCATCATGTTTAGTCCAAATTGTTTTGTTTGTTGTTTTAGGCACATGGACTCCATTTAATCCTGTGACTGTCAGATCAATCATATGTAAGTAAAAACTATACCAGTTCAGCTGTCTGCCATGTCCCCAAGTCATCTTAGCATGTCTAAAACTGAGCTCATCTTTGCTCATCCATTTTTCCTGATGTCACTGTTTCTACTGACAGTAAGGAAAGGTAGACTTGACTCCTTCAACCGTCACACACACGCATACCCCAACCCAAATCTGGTGAATTGCCATGGTTATTTCCCACCTTCCTGCCCTTACATAGGCTGTTCCTCATCTGGAAGTACTCACCTTCACAGTCCCCTAAACAAATGCTATGGTTTGAATCCCCAGCTCCCTTTAAGAGTCCCCTTGTGTTACATCTTCAAGAGACCTTTCCTGATGCTTCTAGTTAAGATCTTTTCCCCCTTCAAAATTCATGTTTTATTTATTTGTGTATGTCCTGTATCTCTATTTGTGAATATACTGTATCTCCCACAAGTAGAAGAGGGCAGGAATGTTAAACAGTGCTGATTGATTGATTATTCTGTGCCTATTTATAATCATATCTTTTAATTTTTTTGTGTTGGATTTTTAGAGCTAAGAGGTACCCCAACTCTAAGAAATGTATTCACACACATCTCCACTCCTCCCCCATCCCCAATTTTACAAATCAGAAAAGTCTTATAGAAAGCAAATGACTTGACAGAGGTCACACAGAGTTAGTTACAAAGCCAGGACTAGAATCCAGGCATCCTGACTCACTGTCTGTTGTTTTTTTTTTCCCATTGTACCTAGAGGCACAAGTACATAGTTGTATGTGTAATTGTGACATCAGCAAAATTAGAAAGAACACTCGCTGAACTTTGAGTCAGAAAATCTGTGTTCAGCCGCTAGCTTTGCCACATTATAGATGGATGACCTCGGACCGATCAAAGAGCCTCTGTTTTCTCATCTGTAAAGTGGGGATAGAATTTGTTCTCTATCTACCTCACAGGATTATTGTGATTCCCCAACGAGAGAACATGACTAGGAGTGCTATATATAAAGACACTAGCTAGGATGGCAGTTATCTGTGTGGTCTTGGGCCATTTTATAATGCTGTGCATACGTAGAGACTGGAGATGAAGGTTTTTATATCTCTGTAGGATATCTGCAGAAGAAAGGCTTCCTTCTGACAGGAACTGTATCTTGGATTTGATTTTGACGGTATTAATCATGGGGACGTGAATATTGAGTCTGTCAGAAAGCATTTAATTAAGTACCTACTATGTTCTGGGCACTGTGCTAAGGGGTGAGAATGAAAAGAAAGGCAAAAGATAATCTGCCCTCAAGTTGATCCTCCAAGGGGTTGTGGAAGTAGTATTGTGTATCCTGACACATGTATGTTCATTCACTCCTTTTTTCTTAATGGTTAAGCATACATATTTATAACACACAATTTTTCTTCTATGTAGAGTTAACTAGCCTATCCAGGAATCGAGCACATAATCTCAACCTCTCAAGTACCATGTTCTTCTGCTAGCAGAACAAAGATGTGGTCACCTCAGTGCATCTCTCTCTCTCTCTCTCTCTCTCTCTCTCTCTCTCTCTCTCTCTCTCTTCTCTCTCTCTCTCTGTGTCTCTCTCTCTCTGTCTCTCTCTCTCTCTCTCTCTCTCTCTCTCTCTCTCTCTCTGAAAGATTGGTCTTAGAAGACTGAAATTGTTGGTAATCATGAACTTCCCTTTTAGACTGACCTTAACATAACCTAACTGAATCTGTTGCAGTATGAACATGTTCTGGTATGATATTTGTTAACATATTGTTGTTGTGGCTTTTTCCCTTTTGGTTTAGCGATGTTTGACCGAGAAAACAAAGCAGGAGTGAACTTTAGTGAATTCACTGGAGTTTGGAAGTATATCACAGATTGGCAGAATGTCTTCCGGACATATGACAGAGACAACTCTGGAATGATTGACAAAAATGAACTAAAGCTAGCGTTATCAGGTTTTGGTAATTCATTTACTCTTATTGTATGGCATATTTCATTTTGGAACCTACTAGCATTTTTTTTGGTTGACTTTGGGGCTTTAGTTTCAAATTCATTTAAAATTTTTGTTTATTTACATTCCAGACATTATCTTGAGATGAGACATAAGTTACTGTGATACAGTTTTGTCCAAAATGAGATAAGGGCTATACAAAGTTTTCGTTTGTTGTGAAGTTGAGTGATTAAGTGAAATTGAGAATGGTGGCTTTGTAAACAATTTGAAATAAAGGAATGAAAAGAAAACTGTAGACAACCAATCTGAGGTTGAATTGGAATCTAGTTTTGTGATGTCATTTAAAATATATACTAGAAAACTAACTAGGTAAAACTTTTCTGAATTATCAGGGCTTGCTTTTTAGTAAATAAAATTATTTTTAAAAATAAGAAGTAAAGAACTTTTGTTCTTTCCCATTCTCAAGAATATCTCGCACATACATACATACATACATGCATACAAACAAATATACATGTGTGTATTTGTGTATATATGTATGTCAACCTTGCGTGTCTTAAAAGAATTTTGGTTTTGAATTGCTCTGAGAAAAATACTTATATAGTACCTTTCCTGGATGATTCAAAGTGCTTTATAAGCTTTAAGCAGTTTCATACATCTGTGAGTTAGCTAGAGAGGAGATGGAGTTTTTTGGATGAAGAAACTAAGGTGTTAAATGACTTGCCCGAAGTTTTTTAGTGGTGATACTAGCAAGATAGCATATCTCAGTTTGTTTTTAGTGTTTTTTAAATTTAAAAAATTTACAAGGAGCAATTTGTAATCTAATGTGCAGTTCATCACGCTCTATGTTAGGAAAATATTTATAGTTTAAAAGTGTCTCATGAGTTTAAGTAAAATTAAATATTCAAGCTGCTGGGTATTAAATGTAGATATGCAACATTGGTATTTATTCGTTTATACAAAACAGAAATGGATAGAGGTTGGGTTGAGAAGGCTAAACTGGCCTGGTGCATGCCTGTCTCAGTTGGAGAGAGGGGCACTTTTCATCTCGTTCTGGGGGACTCAGCCACAGAATCTCCACATGAGAATCAGGGGCCTTAAAATGGAGCTAGATTTGTCTGGTGGGGACTAGAAAAGAAAGAGAACACATGGAACTACTTGGTCAGCTGGGCTGCAGGAGCCAACTAAAACAGAAGACAGGTATTTTGAATGCAGAGTCTTTGAGGGCATGTCTTATCGCTATCCCCCCACACTTAGCATGGCGCCTTAAATGTAGTAAGCTTTTGATCAGTGGCCTTTTGAGTCAACTTAAATTAGTCTAGGGAATGGAAAGGACTGGAGCCCTTAGGGACAGTGTCCTCCTGGTAGCCTTAGCCTGGCAAGAGCTTTAGCAGAAAGCAGCGATAACTCATTCCCATGCTGGTCAAGAGAAGTGAGCAGAAGGAACTGGGTTTGTGACGAGCATACTGCTAGAGAACTTGAGGCTCTGAGAAAGATCGGGGAGAAAAGTGCTAGACCAGCAGTCCTTAATGTAAGCATTATTTGAGAGGCAGACTAAAGTCTTACCTGAATGATTAATGTACCACGTCAGTTATCTTTGCCCATCCCTCTGGCTACACTGAAATGTTTACCTGCATAGGTATAGGTGACTAACCAGGGAGAGTATAGTTGTTAAGTTAGAATTCTCCTGGTCACCAGATTGCAGGTAGGCCTGTGGGAATCTTAGAAGTGAATTCACTGAAACCTGAATTCTTGTGTACTTTTTTGCTTTAAAGAGAAAATTCTTGTTTGAACCTTTATTTTTGGCTATTCTAAGTCTGTTCTTCTCATTTCCTATTCCTTCCCCCTAAATATAGAAAGTGTTTTTAGAAACTAAGAAATTTCAATAATCTCCCCATTTTTTGAGAGTTCCTATTTGTTTTACCTTTCACACTTGAATTCTTTAAAAGCTATTTGATTTTTTGTAATTAGAAGGAAATGGAAATTCTAGCTTAGTTATAAGCATCTTTAACTTTGGTTCCTAAGAAAAATTATTTTCTCTGTCCATAAATAAAGAAAACTGCTTATTAGAAGACATATTTGATTTTATTATAGCAAGAAACCTAAATTAAATAAGGATTAGTCGACAAGCATTTATTAAACACCTACTGTGTGCCAGGCATCATGCTTAAGTGCTAAGTATACAAAGAAAGGCAGAATCAGTTGTAGCTCTCCAGGAGCTCCTTTTATATTTTCTATTTTATACCTGTCTTGACAATAATATCTTCCATTTATGTAGTGTTCTAAAGTTTGCAGAGTGCTTTCCCCATAATGACCCTTTCAGGTAGAGAATACAAATTTCAAGCTAAGGGGGCTCCAACTTCACCTCCAGCCTCCCCCCCCTTCCCCCTTCCCCACCCTCCCTCCTTTCCTTCCTCTCTACCTTTCTCTCTCTCTCTCTCTCTCTCTCTCTCTCTCTCTCTCTCTCTCTCTCTCTCTCTCTCTCTCTCTCTCTCTCTCTGTCTCTCTGTCTCTCTCCCCCCCCCCCTTCCCTTCCCTCTGTCCACATAGGGTATCATACCCTTACCTACAGGTGCTGTGCCCAAAGGAATGTAAATTTTGATCTCTGAAACCTTGCAAGATGTCTTGGGGTTTATGGGCTACATTTCTTTCTTAAGGACCATGCCTTAAAACCAAATTACTCTGACTGTCATTGATTGGCCAACAGTACGTCCCAGGCCAAGCCACACTTGGTCACTGTTTGGGCCCTGATTAGCTCATACTGAATGTAAATTACAGTTGTTTCTGTTTTGGCGAGAAACCCAGAGCTGAAGGTCTTCCTCTCTCAGGTTGATTTTTTTTCCCCACTAGGTAAAAGAGGCCATTCTTGGTGTCATTTCTTACCTAGGCTTAATCACTGATTAGGCATTGCTTCAGTCAAACTGAAACCTGTGAAAGACCTTGTCCAAGGCCAAGGTCTCCCAGTGCATCCAGGGTCCTCTCCAGCGCTGATCTCTATCTGGCCTTTAGACCCAGATCGTTCTGGAGAAGAAAGTGAGGTTGGTGACTTTGCACAGCCCTCCCTCACCTAAATCTAATTCACTTGTATGTCATGGCATCACCTCCCCGATGTCATGGTCGTCTTCGAGAATGAAAGACAAACCACAACCCCTACTGTAGGTCAAGGGAAGTGATTTTAGTACATATCCAGCACTCAAATAAATGCAACAAGGCTGATCTGGCTGATTTCATGATGGAAGTCTCAAAGTGCAGATTTTTTCCCCTTTCTATCATCAGTTATTACATAACTACATTCTGTGCATTTCCTCAGTAGCTTATGTTTTGTCTTCCTAGTTCATTTTCCCAACTTCGAGTTTGAAAAGAATCTTTCTGTTTCTCAGTTATTCATACTGGAAGAAGAGTAAAGTGGGAACAGTCATAGATACCTGAATAGGAATGAGCTGAAGTACTCCCATGCCTCTTTCTTTTCCTTGTCCAGGGTAAAGTTTAAATACATAGATACATGGGTAATGGGAGAGATACTTACAACATAGGATAAGGAAAAGTTTCTTGTAGGATGCTGGCCTTGAAGTAAGCATTGAAGGAATTTGGGAATTCTAAGAGGTGAAGATGAGAAGTACATTACATGCATGGGAGATAGCCTGGTTAAAGGCTTGGAGGCAAGACATAGACTGTTGTGTATGAGGAACAGAAGATAGAGGCCAGTCTTACTAGAATGTAATTGTTAAGGGGAATAATTTGAAATCAGTTTAGAAAGATAAGTGGGAGCCACATGGTAAAGAACTTTATGTACCAGAGTTTTTCTTTTATCTAGAGTTGCTAAGGAGCTATAGGAGCTTGAGCATAGGGATGACATGGTCAGGGCTCTACTTTAGCTATATGATTTGGCATCTGTAGATGGAGGGGGATCTTAATTTCTCCAAGTAAGCAAGTAGTACAACATGGCTTACTACAATCACCTACTGCCTAAGTAGGAAATGTGGAGGACAATAAGTATGGTGAGGCTGATCTCTCTGATTTCTGGATGAACATGAGGTTCATTCTCCTGCTTGTTTATGTGCCTTATTTTTTTGTATTTGTGTTCTGATTTTGAAAGCACAGCGTTAGCATTTCTAGCTACCTCATGGAGAAATAGGCAAGCTTCAAGATAGTTGTCAGTCAACAGATGTTCATTGAATTCACATTATGTACAAGGCAGTAGGCTGAACCTGCTCTAGGAAATAGTAAAGTGCTTTGAGTTCCTGTGGAGGTATTATATAAATATTTTTCTTTGCATGTTTAATACTTTATCAGTGACATGATTAAGCTAACCATATAGGTAATTAACTGTGAAATTCACTCAGACAATAGGTATAACTTATCCTTGCAAAGATTCCAACGAACCTGAAAATCAAATGCAAATATTTTGGCATCTGGAGCTTGTCTTCTGAATAAGTAAGAGTACAACGGTAATGTACATAGTGGAAATAAAAGTTTAAAAAAAGGGAAAAATAGGTAAGATGCTTTTTCTCTCTTAAAGATACAGCTCTCAGGCCCTTATCCAAGGTATGGCTAACAAGTATACTCATCCTTGACTGTTTTGAGAGCTGATTTTCTAATATCAGAAGATATATTCAGTGCATTCTAGCTTACATTCTAGCCTTCAGCCATAGCTGTGACTGGTAGCTCTTGTCAAACCATAATTTTAAAAATCAGCAACAAAATCAGTGTTCCTCAATTTTTTGTTTGTCCCTGACAAATGTTGGAAGTATATGGGGCATTCTGGTTAGGCTTTCTTCTATCAAAACTTTATTAATTTTAATTTATCTTTCCTTTTTGGGGGGAGGGATTCAGTTGCGTCAACCAGATTCTTTAAAAAATTTTTACTTCGTATTTGGTTTGGGCTTCATAAATTTTCAAGCCCATCTTTAGAGTCATAATCATACTAGGACAACCCTTGATTTGATAGCTATTTAAATTATTTAAGCATCTTCGTCTGGAGGCTCATCAGTATTTTTTTGGTGTGTGTATGTTAAATAGAAGCTATTTTTTTCTTTTCTTTTTTTAATCTACGATAGCACCATCTAGTGCCGTGGATGAGTAAATCGACATCAGTAGTTGGAGTAAAGTTATTCCCCATTGGCTTTCTGCAGAGAATAATTAATTCATTTTTCTCTCTACTCTGGGAGGATTTTTTTAATCACTAACTTTTCCAGAATTTGAATTTGTGTCAAAGAATTACAGACTGAAAAATAAGAGAAATAGCTTCAAAACCTCAGAGTTTGTAATTGCCATTCCAATGATATCACAGGTTGATGATTTCGTTCATTAGTTCACCTTTCTGCCCCCAGGCCCTATTCTAATGGTCACATGTATAAACACAAAAACAGTTTTATCCTCCACCCAACTCAGTAAAACTTGTTTCTTTTTATTTGTTCAAAGTTGGGTATGGAGATTGATTTGGTTATGGGGGTTTTTTGGTTTGGGAGGTGTTCTTTTTTTCCTTTAGAGATTTTTTTTTACTTGTAGAAAATTAGTGATTTTAGAAAAGATTAACATATGTAATTTAAACTTTTCCTGGTACTCTGTTTATTTTATTTTCTCTTCTTTAAGGTTATCGGTTATCTGACCAATTTCATGATATCCTTATCAGAAAATTTGACAGACAAGGAAGAGGACAGATTGCTTTTGATGATTTCATTCAAGGCTGCATTGTTTTACAGGTAATTAAGGAGAAACTTTACACGTATATATACATAATGCATGCTATCATACATACACAGATGAATTGTAGTTACATTCATAGAAGTGTTAAATGCATAAGTGAAGAAAAGTAAAAAAGCATTAGTGAATTTTTATGCAATTTATTTGTAAAATATTTTATTGATTACTTAGTATTGACTGTAAAGTATTAAGACTTTGCCACTAAGGCTGGCATTGTTAACTTTTTGTGTATCTAACTCCTGTGGCAATCTGTTAACGCCTATGGACCTCTTCTTAGAATGTATTTTGTTTGTCATTCTTGATTGAAGGAAATACTAAATTTCATTTAGAGGTTAGTGAAAATAAAGATGGGTTTTTTTTTCCCATCCCAGGTTCATAGGCCTCTTGAAATCTATTGTGGACCACTTGAGAGTCCATGGACCCCAGCTTAAAACCCCTACATTAAGGTGAAACGGTTTTAACTTCCCTCATATACTAGATTCTGGTTTGGGAGACACCCAGAAGTTGGGAATTCATTACTTAGAACTTCCTTAGATGACATACACTGCATATGCACTGAATTATTCTTCAATATGACCTCATTGTTTGGTTTTCTTCAGATTCCCTGGCTTATATTTTAGAGTTTCTGATAGACATTTCCCCTTTTAAAAAATTATATAGCAGTTTTCAGAATACTTGGAAATGCTCAGTATGGTATAATGGAAAAAACCCTGAATTAAGAATCCCTTTCATAACATCTGTGATCATGAGCCATTCTTGGCCTTAGTTTCTTCATCTCTAAAGTAAAAGAATTAGATTCGTTAATCTTTGGACTAAAATAATCTCCAAGGTTCCTTCCTTCTCAGAAACTCTTTAAGTTGGAGCCAGATTTTGAAGAGCATTGGATGCCAGGCTTAAGAGTTTGTATTTTATCCTAAAGAAACTAAGGAGTTTTTAAAGGATGGGGGGGGGGCAGTGTTTTGTTTTGTTTTGCTTTTTTTGGTCAGACAGTCGGGGTTAAGTGACTTGCCCAGGGTCACACAGCCAATAAGTGTCAGGTGTCTGAGGCCAGATTTGAACTCAGGTCCTCCTGACTGCAAGGCCAGAGCTCTATTCACTGAGCCACCTACCTGCCCCTTTAAAAGGATTTTTGAGAAAGAAAATGACATAAATATGATGGCATGGTATTGAGTAGATTGAAGTGGGGAAATTAGAAAGCTGTCGAAATAATCCAGGCATAAGATAAGGACATGAACCCTGTGTTTCTGTCAGACCAATGTTTCTGCCTCCTATACTTTCACCTAGCCAAGACATTATTCATCCTGTCCTGAAGTGTTCCCTGGCAGAAGGAAATAAGGGAGGGGGGGAGGGGGAAGCCCCAGAAGCTTCTTTTCCCCAAAGGACTTTGACATGTTATTTCCTAAGCCATTGTTAGTTCTTGGAAACAAATAACAAAACCCAAATGAAGGTGATTACTATGAGACTATAGAGTCTAGGGTAGATAACATAATGAGCTTCTTCCCTCAGGAATTGAAATGTAGAGGGAGAATGAGGACAGAGAAATGTGGGATTTGTTAGAATGAAATGTCAGTGTAATTCTGTGAGAATTGATATTGATAGGTTCAGAGACTATCAATAATGAAAGAAATGTGCATTGAAGACTTGAAACCGTACTGGGATACTTGAAATTTAGGAAAGAAATGTAGGGATAAGACCAGTCTTGGGATTTGAGCTTCAATGGAAATAGTTCATGGAAGATGGAACTTCTCTGTAACTTATTGAGCATCGTTCGACTTCTTTGTGAAGTATTCAGTTCTACACATTATTTTTTAAAATAAAGACATACAGACTAACGCAGGCTACTATAGTGCTTGTCTCGTCGTGAGATCAAGTTACAAACCAATACACCATGAGGTTTTTTAAATGTATTTCTCAGTGTTAGTTGCATATTCCCATCTGAAATTGTGGGTTATTAAAATGGAAAATTTCTAGAATTGGCTAAAAAACTGTATGTGTGTGTGTGTGTGTGTGTGTGTGTGTGTGGACAATTGTAGGAGTGAGCATATACATATGTGAACACATATATATGTGTACATACACTTGATTTTCATCATTTGCTGTGGTTAATGCTCCATAAAGTCACTACAGACACTGAATTATCCAATACTGAACCATTGCTCCCAGGGGAAATACTGGGTTAGGTTCCTGTAAGCCTCAGGTTACACTGTGTTTGCTAGCACTCTCTGGCATGGCCTCATGTACAGATCAGTGAATTTCCTCTTTCTTTTTCTGGATGTACTGCTGGTTCATTGTTGGTTCATTAACACGGAACTCAACGTCACTATAACTCACACCTGCTCAAAGCTTATCTAGCACACGGATTTCTTTGTAAGACACATCAGAGCCTTCTTGTGGTTAGGAATACCAGACAGCACTAAAGCACTACTCTTGGGGGCCATTTTGTACGACAAAATCACCAGCAATAAGGACAAAAATGCAAAAAACATGGCACTAAGACCACAGAAAGACCACTTGTTTACAGTACAAGAGTTGAATCGAGAAGACAAAACATCAGACTTATTTGACCTCGGCTGGGCAACTCTCTTCAGCATGTCCATGAATAAAGGAAAGTGCTACAAGTATTGATTTTGGGGTTACAAATAGATTTTAGCATGTGGACTAATTTGCAAGTGCAGAATCCATGAAAAATGAAAATCTGGTTGTATATCCAACTATGTTATTAAATGAGATGTTTGTAAAGCTTAGCACAGTGCCTGGCACAGAGTTGGTGCTCAATAAATGCTCATTACCTATCTCCCCTCCATACTAAAGGTTAACACATAAGTGAGGGGTATATACTCTAAAAAATAACCTGTGTTATTCTCTTTGTTGTCACCGGTGTCTTGTGGAATCAGATTTTTTTTAACTTTTTCTTTGTCTCCCAAATGAAAGGGATCTGACCTCTGCCTGTTTTCTGCATTGTAAGGTTCTTCTAATGTTGAATTATTGTTTCTTGAATGTGTTTTGTGAGATGTGCTATGAAGTGTCTTAGCAAAAAAAGTTGAATTATAAAAAATGAGGTAATGTATTGTACTCTTAAGCCCCTCTGAGCACTTGACTGGAAATCATGTGATAGAAGACCAGTATCCTTGGGCAGCTTATCTACTCATTTCTCACCTGTAAAAATAAATTACAGATGTTCCTGAATGAAGATGATTCTGACCACTTAGAAACTGTGATACTCTACCAATCTGGGATCCCATGAGGGATTCCTGAAGCCGCTTGTATCTTCTATGTTGGATTCAGGGCATGTTAACTTAGCTAAACTTCCCTGACTCCAAAGTATAGTCCTGGCCACCAGTTCATCTAGAAACTGACTGATCTTTTTCTGGAAGAATCTGCAAGGGCTGTGAGTATTTTGGAGCCTGCAGGAAAATACAATCAGTTGAGGATAATATCACGTGAATTTTTTTTGGCAGGAAGAGATGGGAATGTGCCCTTTTTGTTGAGAAATAGCAAACACACCACTCATCTTTCACAATTAAAAACATGCATGCAAAGCTTTAGTTAATTAACCTAACAAACTCATATTATGGGGGGAAAAGAAGCCCATAAACAGAGGCAGATTTTTGTGACCTAATAGGATATCATTCCTGTAGTCTGTTGTTTCTTTACTGCCTGTAGTGGATCTGTTATCTAATTTGGGCACTCCCGCCGCTGATGACGAGCTTATGAAGATTGCAGCTCATCTATACCTTCTCATCCATGTTCTTTGTCCATAGACAACACCAGACAAAAGAGGCCTTCCTCTAGTTCCTTCAGTATTTTGCTACCCAGAAAATCCATCTCCTTTACCATGTCCATGATGATATATGTTTCACGTCAGCAGTTCAAAAACTTTTTGGTGTTAGGACCTCTTTACTCCTTTAAATATTATTAAGGATTCCCACACTTCCCCTTACCCTAAAGAGCTTTTGTTCATCCATCCATGTTTACTGTATTAGAATTTAAAACATCTTACTATGTGAAAATAGTTTTGACCTTGGGGACCCTGAACCACGCTTTAAGAGCTGCTGCCATATGTTACTGATTGCACAGTCATCCTCTTTGGTAGTCAGTACACTTAGCCAAGCCATGCTAGGTGTGTTTCCATGTCCTTTTGAGTCTCTTACAGTTATGATTCTTCTGAAACCCTTGTTTCATAATTCACGGGTATATACTCTCATTATATAGTATCGTTACAGTGGACATAAATGAGAATATTTTACTTCCTAAAGGTCAGAGATTTCTTGACCCTAGGTTAGAGGATCTCTGATTAGATGGACTGATTTCCAAACCCTTCATGGGTTCCAATTTACTTAAGGCCTGAATGGATTCAGGTCACAGTAGCAGTAGCAGCTGCTTAGGCCCATAGTAAGTGTTTAATACTTTTCTGTTCTTCTAGTGCATTATGGGTACATTAACATATTTGATTTTCATAACCTGGTGAGGCAAGTAATGCAAGTATTCATTTTAATTTCCTACTAAAGAAACTAAGACTTAAATTGAGAAATGCCTAAGCAAGCAGCGTAGCCACTTCTTTGAACTGGGGTCTTCTGATGCTCAAGCCCAGTGCTCTTTACACTGTGCCCAAATCTCCTCAATTGTGTTAGTAAATACCAGAATCTTGTGATCTGTTTTCTCTTTCAGAGGTTGACAGATATATTCCGGCGCTATGATACCGATCAGGATGGCTGGATTCAAGTGTCTTATGAACAGTATCTTTCCATGGTCTTCAGTATTGTATAACACTCACCTTTGGAGGTTATCGATGGGACTTACGGAAAAAGAAAGACTGGAAATGCCAAATCCCTTATCTCATCACGTCATGAAAAAAGAACGCTGATGCAGCTCAAGATTGTCTTCCTCCCAAATTTTATACAATTGATATGTTTATGTTTCAAAATCCTAACTCTGTATATATGTGAAAAGGCTAATTAATATTATACCCTAGTAACTATAGCCATATAGCTCTCCATATGCAAAAATGAATTTAGTTTGTGGTTATTTGTGCCATGAAGTAGAATATGTGTAACTTTGCTTCAGGTATCCTGCATGAAAAATGCATCATATCTTTTGTAGATGTCTCTATTCCTCTTGTCAGAATGCTTCTACTAATTAATCAGAATTTTAAATAGTATGGAACTTGCACATAAGGCTTTTCATGTGCCTTACTTTTTTTTAAAGGAATTTATTGTATCCATTTTAATATGTAATGTAAGCAATAAAGGAAATGTTACAGACTCGTGTTTTACCACTATTTCCACACCTTTTGAATCATAGAGAATTGGGGCGGGGGGGATGGATAGGCAGCCTCTCTGCCATATTCAGTGACATTATCACTGCTTCAGAGATGCTGTTATGGGCTGTTCAGGGGCATAGCTTTACATGGACAGAAGTTTCCTGGCATGCCTGGTCCAGGCTATTGACTCCCACAACTAAGTCATATTCAGTGATGAAAGCTGGGAGAGTAGAGATGTAGAACACTGGTATTATATGGAGCATCAGACTGTATAAATTCTGTGTTCATAACCAGCACAACTTTTTTGTAAAACACCACACTTCCATATTTTCCCTTTTACTCAAAATAAATATAAACTGTTGTTGACATGTGATGATGGGGCCCTATTAGCAAAGATGGCTTTAGCTGTATGATGAACGCGAGTTCTAGAGAAGGAGCTATGGGAACGCCTGGCAGTCTCTACAGCTCATGATCTAAATCTTTTGTAACTTCCAAAAATTCACAAAATTTGGAAATATGTGGGGTTTTTTTAATCTTTTAAAAATGTTGGGGGCAGCTAGGTGGCACAGTAGACAGAGCACTGGCCCTGGATTCAGGAGGAGCCAAGTTCAAATTTGACCTCAAACACATAACACCAGCTGTGTCACCCTGGGCAAGTCACTTAAACCCCATTGTCTAGCTTCCCCCACAAAAAAAAAGTTTTATTGATGCCTTTTGTTTTAACAAGATATTTGTAGATACCACCCCACCTACTACAGATAGAGCACTAGGCCTGGAGTCAGGAAGACCTAAAGTCAAATTCAGCCTCTGATCCTGGGCTTAACCTGTGTCTGCCTTAGTTTCCACAACTGTAAAATAGAAATAATAATGGCACCTACTTCCCAGAGTTATTGTGAGAATCAAATGAGGTAATATTTGTAAAGCACTTAAGCGAGGTGGTTCAGTGAGTAAAGCACCAGGCCTGAAGTCACTGAGACCTGAGTTCAGATTCGGCCTCAAATACTGGCTGTGTGATGCTGAGCAAGTCACTTAAATCCTGTTTGCTTCAGTTTCTCCATCTGTAAAATGAGCTGGAGAAGGAAATGGCAAACCGCTCCAGTATCTTTGCCAAGAAAACGCCAAAAGGGGTCATGAAGAGTCAGACACGAGTGAAAGAAACAAAAGAAATGCTTTTGCTCCATTCCCCCCACTCCAATTCTCCCTCCTTGAACCCTCATTTTTAAGAAAGAAAAGCTGTTAAGCAGAACCAGTCAGAATAATGACCTCATCTGCCAATGTCTGCAACATTTTCCCTCTCTACCAAAGGGGAAGGAACTACATTTCATCATCTGTTCCCGAAAACCCAGGTTGATCATCATCATTGGGTATGTTGTTCTGTTGTTGGTTTTGGGTTTACTTTTTTTTTTTTTTAGCCTAGGCAGTGGGGTTAAGTGACTTGCCCAGAGTCACACAGCTAGTAAGTGTTATGTGTCTGAGGCTGGATTTGAACTCAGGTCTTCCTGAATCAAGGGCCAGTGCTCTAACCATTGCGCTACTAGCTGTCCTTATATTGTTCTTCTGGTCCCTAAGTCAGTATCAGTTTAGGCATGTCTATAGCCATTTTCTGCAGTCATATTTGTCATTTCACTTGGCACAACAATATTGTGTTAACACTCGAATGTGTTCAGCTGTTCCCTGCTCAATAACCTATTTTCTTTAGTTTTTTTTTGTTTTGTTTTTAAACTACATAAAGCATTGTTATGAATATTTTGGGATGTGTAGGGCTTTTTAAGATCTAGAATATTTCAAATAAGTAATTGTTCATTTCACATTCATTCATACTTTCAATTTATTCAGATTGTACATATTTTATTTAACAGAGTCATTAGGCAGAAATGAACATGAGAAGGCTTCTAATCCAACCTTACACCCAGATCATATTCCCTCTACAAAATCCCTAACCAACCCCTGATTGCTTAGACTTTATGAGAATGCTTGAATCTCAGAGAAATTGCTACTTCATGAGAGAGCGCTCTCCATTGCTTGAATAGCTCTGCTCAGTAGAAAGTTCTCAAATTGAGCTAATCTGCTTTATAACATGCATGTGACCTAGTTCAGCCCTCTGGAGCTACTTTCACAGAGCCTCAGTTAAACTTTGTCCCTGGACAAATACCGGCAACATATCCACCAAAGCAGCCATTCCACTTTTGGGCAGCTCTAATTGTTAGGAAATTGTTTCTTATGTCAAGCCTCTCTTTGCCTGTATTTCCACCCGTTGTTCAGAGTTCTGCTGTCTGGGGCCAATCAAAACAAGTCTAATTTCTCAGACTGCCCTTCATATAACTTAATGATGTCCACAACCCTTGCCAAGTCTTATCTCTCCAAGATAAAGATCCCCGGTTCATTTAACCAATGTCTATTTGCCAACTTGGTTACCTCTCCTATGGATGCCCTCCAGCTTATTTATGTCCTTTAAGTATGTGTCCAGAACTGAACACACACTTCAGATGTGGACTAAGGCAGGACATAGCAAGACTGTCCTTTCTGTTAATCCTGGTCACTATTTCTTTTAATGGAACCTAATATTATCTTAGCTTTTCTAGCAGCCATATCACGCTGTTGAATCATTGAGCTTGGAGCCTACTAATATCACCAAATCTTTTGAAGACCAATTGTCCAGTCACCCTTCTGTTGAGAAAATTTTTTAAAGATTCCAAATCTGTGACTCTGTGTGTGTGTGTGTGTGTGTGTGTGTGTATGCATGTACGTGTATGTTCATTTACTCTCAGATTCAAGCAAAGGTTGAAAGTTTGTCAATCCTTTTAAGTTCTAATTAGGGTCATCAAATTTGTTTAGCTATGAAAATCATTTGCAAATTTGGGGAATGGAGTATTAGGCATTTGTAAAGGGTATTCCTACTCAGGTATAGGTTGAACTTTGGGAAGTCCTTACTAACAGATTCCATGAATTTTTTTTCTATGACTTAATTTCGTTAGACCTAATTCTTGTGCCTGTGTAATTGGACTTTACATCAATCACCTTGTTAGTTCTGACCTGTTGTTCCATCTTGCTGAGATCTTTTTAGATGCTGATTCTATCATCCAATACCTTAGTAATTTGGTCAAGAATTGTCTTCCATTATCTTGTGATGGTTAACTGATCTTTCTCAAAATGTTGAGGGAAAAGAAGACCAGAAGATTAGACCCTTTCTGAAGGAAGGTGCTTTTGTGGATAGAAGAGAGTCTCTGACCTATAGCCAAAAAAAAAAAATTAAAACCAAAAACTTTCACAGCACTTATTGTCTTGCATATAATACTCAATGATTTATACTGGGAAGATGAAAATGGGGGAAGTGGGGAGGGACCTTTTGAAGAGATACATCTAATAAATGAACATTAGTCAATATAATTTATTGGTCAAAGTATAATTGAAAAAAGTAGATGACAAGTTTTTCAGCTTATACCATGCTATTTGAGAAGGGGATCCCTACCCTAGTGAGGCAGGTTTAAAATTGTGGACTGTGGACTATAAAGGTGAAATCTTAAGGAAATACAAAATATGCTATTATTTAAAAAATGAAAATGACATCAAATTAGTGAGAAACATGATGAATTTAATACAACTATTGATCTTTTTAAAATTTACTCTGGATAAGACATTTGAAATGACATTAATTAACTGGGTCTTATGCAAGAAGAAATCTCCCTGAAAAATACAACAAATTAGAGTCTGAACACTGTAGTCCAAATATTGACATAGGAAAATTTCTTGGAAGAATTGGAAACACAGCAAGGTACAAATCAGTAGGCTCCACAAGATACAAAATAGAGGAACCCTAACTTTAATTCACCCTTCGAGTATCTACCCCAAATGTATACTGTACATCTCCCTATTGTGTCCAAATACTCCTATGGGGAAATACAGTCTCCTAGGGCATTGCAACTTCATGAGCAGGCTCTGACTTCTCCCTCCCACCTTACATCTCCCCTTCCATTAACTATTGCCTGTTCTTCCAGAGCAACACAGGCACGACAAAAGAAAAGACTACAATGCAGACTACTCTCAACCCTAAGCCAGGGAGGAATGTACGTCTGGATCCTCTTGATGTTTCCCTTCTAAATGTGCCAACCTAAAAGGTCTATCTCTGCTGTCACGTTCCCAAAATGCCAACTCACTAATGAATTAACATGAATTCTAGTCAGTGGGCCTGGAGTCAGGAAGACCTAAGTTCAAATTTGACCTCAGACATTTACTACAGCTATTTGACTAATGTAGATAACAATAGTACCTACCTCCCAGGATTGTTGTGAGGATTAAATGAGATAATATTTGCATAAACTTAGTTGTTCAGTTGTTTCGGTGGTATCTGACTCTTCATGACCCCATTTGGGGTTTTCTTGGCAAAGATACTGGAATGGTTTACCATTTCCTTCTCTTTTCACAGATGAGGAAACCGAGGCAAACAGGGTTAAGTGACTTGCTCAGAGTCACACAGCTAGTAAGTCTCTGAGGCCAGATCTGATCTCAGGTCTTCCTGACTCCAGGCCCAGCACTCTGTTTATGGGCCATTTTGCTGTCCATATAATTTAGTAGGCTATTAATAATAAATATTTGTTTCTTCCTTTGAAGTGTGATGTTCTATAGACATTCTTTCATTTTCACAATGACCCTCAAACAAGATGAAAGTTTTGAAAACCAATAATTGTCTACACCTAGAAGCATGTAAGTATTGATTTTGTTGCTGACTCTTTTCTCGCTATTTGTACTTATCTTATTTTTTTTAAACAAGTTTTAATGTCAGATGCCCTGCTAATATCTGTTTGGTTTTTGTTTTTGTTTTTTAATGAAGAATAATGTTAGGTATAAGGATTGGACCTGTGATTTTATCGTATGAATATGTTGCAAAGAGTTTAGCAAAGATAACAGCACTACATACCAAAAAAAAATGTTCATTATGACCAAGTTGGATTTATACTAGCAATACAACATATAAATTTGTGCATCTGAAAGACTTTTGGCCTT